GCAGCAATTTGATCATATAATTCTATTCAAAATAGACCGCTGAGAAATACTCTCTCATCCATACCACGCAATTTCATTTTTCAAAAAACGTCAGAGCCCCAAGGCCAGATACAATAAGCGAACAGAAATAAACTAACAATGCTTTATCGTGCTACAGATTATCTTTCTGAGTCCACAAACTAGCATCACAATTGCAGTGAAGAAAAGAAAATGAGATTAAAAGCTAGGCTAAACAAAATTTTTTGCTTGGAAAAGGCAATGAACGAAAGCCTCGTGAAAATGCTACAAACTAACCAACCAAGGGTGTACCAGTGCAAAAGCTTCAACTCACAGGTGCAAAAGTAAATTAATCTACAACGAAATCAAGCTGCTTTGACTTTGCGGGAAGCTGGACGCCGGAAAAGACTAATCAAATCATCAACACCCTGTCGAAAGACATTAACTGCAGGCTGAGATTTATGTACAGATTTATTTTCAATTGGTCCCTAAGATAGGCTTATGATTATTTATAAGTTTCATAAGTTAGTTAAAACTCAACTTTTCCTTGGATGCCCGTACACACAATTATATTTGTACTCAATTTTCCTTTATTTCTAATAGTGCAGGAAAAATACATTTAGTAACATACTCGCTATTTTGGGCATCTTAAGTAAAATTATAGAATTCTATGTTTTCTTTCCAACTAAGGCAGCAAGATTAGTCGTGCATGCTCGCGAGAATATGAAGATTTTTTAACTTGAGTGTAACTTTTCTTAAGAAGCATTATAGTCTTTTGTTTCAATTAGATTATAGCAACACGGTGAAAACTATGTTTTACAGTAGTAGCACTATTACTATTATGCACAAAAAAGAGTAAATTTCTTTTTCATACCCTGGTGATGATAACCAAAAAGCTGAAAAGCAGAATCAAGTATGATCCTAGAACAAGCAGCAAAAGCAAGTCGAAAGTCACGCTTGCAACCTGCACCATGAGATCATAATCATCAGAACTGATTATTCTACAAATTTAATGGGACATCGATTCACTTATTCCCGATGTCATGCTCAACAGAGACACATTACATAATCAAATACTGTTTGTCTGGTTACTCGTTTACAACATAATACAGGGATTAATTGGTGAGTTAACCTATATAAATCATGAGCAGTAATATTGATAGCTGACCAGTACTTATAAGTTAATTTTAACATAGGGAAGGTGAAAACTTCCGTAACCTCGAGAGCATATGAATTCATTATATCTATACAAAGAATCAATTAAGGTAGTAGCGAGTTTCAAAGCGACAGAAAATTAGAAAGGTAAACTTCGAAGAGGAGAAATTGGTTGTTAGAAACTCTTTTGCTGCAGTTATGCATGTATATATTGTGTCTCTGTGTGTGTGTGTGTTTGTGACATTTAACCAACGAATTTGGATAGACACCTGATAGATATGTAGCTTGCCGCTTATTGAATCATAAAAAGTGAACACCCCATCTAATGGTTCCTGTTGTACATTCACTTCAATAGTGTGGTCCGATAACTCCTGAGAGTGAATGTGTTAAAATCATGATCAGAAGAAAAGCTCTCACGGCAAGAATTAAAAACAACTGTCATCAAGTCTTGCAAATAGTACCTTTTTAAGTGCCACAATAAGAGGATCATCTTTTGATAGAAATGGAGCCACTCGAGGTGTTGTCGACAAAAATTCTACCCACGAACGTATATAAGAAGGATTTATAGATAAACTACTATGATCTGCAAATATATCAATGTTTTTCCCTTCCTGACCGTAAATTTGTCTCTGTGTATACCATAAAAGGGAGAAGGAAACAAATGAGAACCCTTCTTAATTTCATCTATACCTAACATAATCAAACGCTGAAGAAATTTGAAGACAAGATCTTACAGCAAGACTTTCAGCAACTAATTTGACACTTCGACTTATCGAAGCTTCATTAATAAAATTCCTGTGAAGACAGATGATTGAAAATGAAAATTCACCCAAGAAAGAAATTTAATTTTGATAACCGAAAAATAAAAGTAATACTACTTTAAGTCATACCTGTTATCTGACAGGCTGCCAGTATTTTCCAGGAAATCGGGTGCAACAGGGAGTTTAGAGAGAGTTGCTGCCGTGACTCTCAGTCTCGAAAATTGCTCATGTTCCCATGCCACCTAGATTATGTTACAATATAATCAATATGACTGATGAAAATGAAAAAGAAACCGAGCTTATAATTACATATAAACCATACTACAAAAAAATAAGCACTTTCCCTTTATTACTCTACTTACAAGAACTACCTAGTTTCAGTGATACAGCATGCAAGCACTCCTCAAGTTTAAAAATCACAAGGAACTTTAGCTTACACCTTTTGCCTGAATAGAAGAAGTATATAAGTTTGTTTCTCTAGAGTTCTTTTTTTATTTTTTATTTCTTTCGTGGGGCGTGACGTGATCACCTCAAAGAAAAGTTTAAAAGGCTCTACTCTGTAGTATCATGAATCCTTGTAGTTCTTTCATGCAATAGAGTTGCTTTCTAAGTTTCAAGAGAGGATCATAGGAAGGACATGCAATGTTAAGTGTCAGCAAATTTTAGAGTGAAATGGGACTTACTCGAGGATTAGAGATGTTAATCTTCTTGTGTTTCAGACCAACTTTTAGCCCCAATTCTTCGGACACACTAGAGAAACCCTGCAGAAATGCATGTAAACAAGACATAAATCATTTTGAAAATATGAGATAACTCGAAAGCTTTCCCTGAGATTTGATTTAGCAACTAAAAGAACAGGTATGTTTGAAAATTACAGAAATCCCCTTGAGATTTGGTAGTGTGTTTAAATTCAAGGATCTTTGTTGAATTTTCAAAAGCTCAGGTTGTTTTAATTTAACCTAAACCTCAGGGGTCGGTTTGTAATCTTCTCTTGAAACTAATGATAGTTGTCTGACAAACAACATTAATTCTTCCTCACAAATTGGGAAGGAGAGTAACCTCAAAAATTTGTTTTATGTAGGCATTTTCCGGAGGCTTGGACACATGCAGCCATAACTCATTGCTAGAAGAGCCAATGCTATTCAAGCAAATAGCATAATCAATAGTCTCACGCAAACGCTGATCCATGCTACGAAGCCACTGTAATGAGAATGTGATATGATTAGCAACACCCTTAAAAACATGTATAATTGAAAACCAGAGAAAGCTATAATCAAGCAAGCACCTTCTGAGTTCCATTATAGTTATAAGGTCCTCCAGATGTCAGCGCAAAGAGTAAATTATATCTTCCTCTTGTCTTAGGGTTTGAATACAAAATTGAAAATAGTCTAGCAATTTCGAGAAGAGCCACAACACCGCTTCCACTGCTATCACTTCCCACGGACAATGCCTGTAAGTAATAAGATGGCATAAGTCCGTATACTTCCAATAAAAAACAAAAGCTCATTAAAGGAAATAGTTATTAACTGGTGCAGCTCCAAATGTGTCATACGCTGCCACAATAGCTATAGTTGGTATTTGATTAGAATCTCCATCGGCTTTTAATCCTGGAAGCCATCCCTGACATACCAAAAGATTTGGAAAACTTAAAATCAGTAACAGCAAAATTCATACAGCTAGATAATGCTTTTATCAGTCTAATTTAGTCGAAATTGCACAACAATGCGGACTCAGACACATAACATTCTGCACTACATAAAGAGGCAATGAATCCACTTACTCACTCCATTTGAAAATAAAAAGGTCAGAACTAAAACCTGAATATTTATTATGGTAGGAGAAGCAATTTTCCTGGGCTCTGGTGCAGCAACTACAAGCTTGTAGCTGAAACATTCAGATGAGACTTAATTGCAATGAGGCTACTTAGGAATTGGAATCTGAAAATCAATATCTAACATGGATACAAAGCATGACTACCCACCAAAAAAATTAGTATACCACAATTACAATTTGTGCAGCATATGATGCAACCATGGCTCAGAGAAACAAAAGCTTTTTAACTCAGAAATTGGGCCCCGGATCCGAAAAGCAACGTGAATACACAACTAGTAGTCAAAGAACGTGCAGTTGATAAAAGTCAAATGGTCAGCATTAGCATGCCATTGCTATAAATTTCCTAACCGATTAAATATCATAACTTTCATTCAACTCAAAACCGATTTTACATAAGCATTAAGGTTTACTTCTTTATCCTTTTACAACAGCTGGATATAAGGAGGTTAATAAGGTTAACAAGTGCTCTATGGTACAATATCACTGGTGCTGGCAGAAGATAATTGCTGCAATCATGGCAGACTAATGGTCATGCATTTCATTTTATGGAAACAAGAGGAAAGCCTCAAAACTTATGCAAATTATAGCTAACAATCGAACAAGAAAGTAAGAAAGGAAGGCCTATATGATATTGTGAACCCGACTTATCACAAACAAAAACTGTTCAACAGCGGATAGTGTGAGCAATTATAGTTATTACTAATACTAATTTCTAAGCACCCATTCATTTGTTTCTGTTTAGGGTGGTTTGGGATTGGGGAGTGTACTTTCTTCATAACTGTAGACAGAGAAGAAGACTCATGAAGATATTTCAGATAATAATAATTTCTTTCATTGTAGCTTCTGATTAATCAATTTACCCGCCAGTTGTTGCAGTCGCCGGCTGACCAGAGGCGTCATTCTTCTTGACATCATCAAGCATAGCACTAACATGCTCATCTTCAAAACCAAAGTAAACAGGATACTGTGACATAAGAGGCCCTTATCAGAATGAAAAATAGATATATGATTGGCGATTAGGCAGATAAGTTTCACGTCAAACATAAATTAGCTGCTAAAAATATAAATGCGGAACGATTATTCATACTTGCCAATAGAAACACTTATTTAAAAAAGAAAAACATTTTCACTCACAGGGATGTTTTCATGTATAAGCAACTGTTCCACTTCATCCAACACATTTTTCACAAGGTGTGCAGAGTCCTGATCAGATCCACCACTCTTGTTCAAGTGTTGTGGATTGAAAACTTGGGGAAGCAGGAGTAAAAGACCACCTAATGGCTTCCTCTGTCCAATATAATCTGCCATTAGAGTCCAATAAAAAGAGTTAGTCCGGCAGTCGTGAAAAAGTGACAAATCACGTAAATGTATCATAATTGCTATCAGAATTGAGTGTAACGGATCGTAAAGCAACTGTTGATGATTCAGCTGGAAAATGTAATAAGAATCAGGAATTCAAAACATATAGGAAATCCAGAAGTTCGTGGAGATTAGAGAAAGAAGCTCAAATCATTCCAACTGATCCTTGACAATCTCTCAAAAATCTGGGGCAGTCTCAATGACAATGAAATAAACAAAAGAAGTCTCAATGGAAATCAAATCATTTCAAGAGAGGGAATATGACCTAAAACAATGAAGAAGCCTAAATGAACAACATAAGAACTTATTCTCAGACCGAAATTACCAAAGTATGGACAAACTCAGAGCAGTGTTAAAAGAAATGAGTTTGTTGAAAGCAACCAGCATATGACCAAGAACAAAGATCAATCAGATGCGTCAAGATTCAAAAAAAGTGTCAAAGAATATTAAATTGAGTAAACATCTTTATAAAGTGCAGCTAAAATCAGCATCCTTTAAGTTATTGCACTTCCATAACATTTCCTTTCTCTTGTTAATTACTTAATATAATTAAATCAAAATCGATTCGAACATAAGAAAACTGAATAAAGGCTGTAAATTTATGAAGGCATGGTATAATTCCCCCAGTTCCAGCAAAAGGGGGTTAATATTGCAGGCAGTAACCAGATAACTCCAAGCACTAATGTAATTTGCCTCCAGTTTAACTTAAAAAAAGATCCAACACTTATCTGAAAGAATTAATCATAAACCCAACCTTTTTCTTTTAAGTAGATTGCAAACACTAACCAATATGGTCTATAAGACTATAACAGGGTCTATAACCTAGATTAACGAAAGAATCTACACTCCCAGGATTTGGAACCGAACTCCAAGTTTACTTGTAATAGTTCTTCCTACAACTGCAGCTCCAGCTCAACTCAACTCAAATAAACTACACAGGTTTCCAAAGTTCAAATCTTCACAATTTTCTGGGTTAAACAGTATGATGTAACATTCATATTAGAAAAGCACTCCTTGGCTAAATTGTATCTCATGTCGCCACTTCCCGAACCCAATGACAGCTACGAAAAGTTCAGGAACTCAGAATAACATCATAAGTTATTGACATATATTTAAATATGCTTGAAAAAACTTATATAGCATCTTAAAAGATCGGAAAATTAAAGAAAAGGCCGAGACTTCCAAACAAATAGACCTCTAATGAAAGTGAGATTCAATTCGCGGACAGGTAGAATAAGCACGGTGCGGGAAAGATCGGCGACCGCCCCGTGGGAAGAGGAATATATCGAGGAACCGGCGTGGTGGTTAAGGGCGGCGAACCGCGACCCGAAAGGCACGCCGGCGATATCGTACTGGACGAGGCGGTACACGTCGACCACTGTGACGGCGTCGCAGAGCTCCGCGCAAGCCATAACTATGATGAGCAGCGTAATAACTGATGAATAGACCGGCTCGACGAAAACCGAGGACTGTGATTTCTGGACCTTCGCCATTGTTGGAAGAAGTGGTGGAGCTTTTCGATCTGGAAGAGGTAAGAGAATCTTGTATGTAGGCAGCGTGTGAATTATTTATTACAACTATAATTTACTTCTACTTCGAAAAAAAAAATGTACTTCAAACAATTTTGGATTTTTAATTTAATTTTTAATCTGCGTAACCTCTAAATTAAATTACGGTTACGATAGGTCAATAATAATAAAGCGTATAAATTAAAATAGTGAAAAATATAGATTAGTATCAAAATATATTTGATTAATATTTTTATTTTTTATTTTATTTTTATGATATATGATATTTAATATATGGTTTATATATGTATTTCAACCGATATGAAACAGCTAAAATTTTAGAATTCTTGTTAATAAACATGACAATTTAACATGTTCAAACATTATCACCAAATAATACTCACAAAAATATTTTCTATCTTCCATTACGCATACTTTATTATAATATATTATTTCGAGCTCTAAATAAGTAATAGTAAATTTAAGAAATTGTTGCAAATATAATCTGATACTTAATTTAAAAAGAATGTAGTCTATATCATTTTAAAGTTATAATTTTACTAATTTTTAATTATCTCAATTTTTATCTTCATATAATTTAAAATAATGTATATACAAGTATTTAAAGTTTTCTTTCTAATATAATAATTCATATGGAAGTTCGACACCAATTGATCTATCATTATAATTTATAACAATATATATTACAAATATATACATAATTATGTAACCTATTCACATATTATCAATAAATAATATTTACAAAAATAATTCTTTTTATCTTCCCTTACTCATTCCTTATCATAATATATTAACGTGATGGTAAAGTTGAAATTTTGTGTTAAACATTATAAAGTGACACTTCATTTAAAATGAATGTAGCACATGTTATTTTAAAGTTATAAAATTAACTAATTTTTAAATAACACAATTTTTTAATTTTTTTATAATTGATAATAATACATTACATAAATATTTTGATTTTCTTTCTAATATGATTTTTCACATGACATTTCGATATTATTTGATAATCATTATAATTTATAACAATATATATAATATATATTTTAAATTTTTTCTAAGCACATAATTTACATCATTATTTGACAGAGTTTTTTGACAGGTAAACTCGTTGGTTTATCATTATGATTTATAATAATTTATATGATAAGTATTTTGATTTTCTTTATGAGTTAATAATTTACATGGATAGTTCGACTGACGATTCATCTTCCGGTTTATTCGACGCTACCCATATGGGTACAGCCCACTTTTACTGTTAGCCAATCAGAATAAGCCATGTGGAATGCACTGAGTTTTGCCATTTCTCTCTTCTTTTCAGATTTTTGTTGGCTGAATCTATTTTATATTTTTGTTTTTAATGTTGCTTTATCTACCATGGTTACCTTTGAGTTAAATATAATAATTAATTAAAACAGGCTGTACACATCAAGATCTAAAATTTGAATTTGGGAGAAGACCATTTTTCAGCGAACAAAAATCGTCCCAAACAAATTGCACTTCTTCTCCAAAAAATTGCAGTACTTCTCAAGACCATTTTTAATCGGTTGAAAATCGTCCTGTCTTCTCCAAAAATTGCAGTTCTACTCAGCTGTTAACAAGGTATCTTTTTTAATCATTTTATCAATGTTCGTAGAATATTGTCTTGTAAATTATGAAATTTTTATTCAGCTTTCTGTCTCTTTGATTAAAATTGCAGTGACTGTAGTTATTGTGCTTCTTCTTCCTTGCATTTTTCTCTGGGGTGTCATTGGGCTTTACACGTATGTTTTTCAATTTTTTTTTATTTTTTTTTTGGCCGGGTATATTTTTTGTTCTGCACTTTTTATTCACAAAGGTAAAAATACAATTTCTAAAATTTTATTCACAAGTTAATATTTGGAACACCGAATGAACTTCATTTCTTAGAAATTCTTTCACTAGCGGGTATCTAAATTGTGCACTTTTTTTTTTAGTTACATTAGAATATGTCCGACGGGTAGTATTTGGATATTTGTCTTAAGCAAGCGTTTTTATTAAACTGAGTGTGATTATAACCACAGGATGTGATTATAATGAAGGTACAATAACATTGAAACAGTATGTTTATTTTTTGGTGAGATATTGAACTGAGTGTGAGAACTTAATATATTTGTTGAATGTATGTAGGTATTACTGAACTAATGGAGCATTATTTTGCGGAGCAATGTGAAGACATCGAGGGTAATGGTGAAGAGTTTCAAGAACAAGATTTTGGGTGTTCTTCAACA